AATAAACATAGGGAAGTGCCATTTCTTACCTATATTTTGATTAATGATTTTTAGTTATAGCTTGAGGTCCGGAAATTCTCTGTATCTCTCTCTATGCGAGTTTACAAATTTTTTTGCTTGTTTTCTTCAGTAGTTTCCTTAATTACTTGTTGCTGAGCCTGCCTTATTCTGTGGAGTATTGCAGAGAGCTTACTTGAAAGGTGCGGTCACCACCCTCTAACTGTTGCTGTTATGGGAAAGGCTCTCAGGAAAGAAATAAGAGCTGAGAAATGGTAGAAGGTAAGGCTATGATTAACCTATCAACTTTTGCCGCATGAGCATCTGGTCCTGTTGCATATGTGAATGAAAAAGAAGCTGAGAACACAATAACCATTTTTAGGACATTTGAGTTCAGTCTAGAAGCAATGCCTGTTGACTCTAGAAGGCTCTTCATCGCTCTTTCTGCTCTTTCATGGTCAGAACCTGTACCAGAAGCTTGTCTAGAAGCCATATGGTCAGTTCTTGGGCAGGAGAGCTTGTTCTCTCTTGTTATCTGCAAACTTGTTGAAGGGTCCTTAATAATGAAAAATGAAATGGGTCCCCTGTACCAAGTACATGACATGTTATCCTTATATCTTGATAGCAAGACAACTGAATCAGTCCAGATGCTACTAAACCGTTCTGCACCTGAAGAAACCGCATTTGTTTGCCCCTGGGTTCTTATTTTCGGAAAAGAGAAAATTAAAAAACTTGTTGAGCCAAAGATAGTGGTTTTCCTTGGGGTTTTAAAAGAGAGGCAGGCAGTTATCACCTTAGAATCTATTTTTTGGGCTCTAATGCTAGCATATTGGGACCCAGGATTACAGATATTATTTCAACTGATTCAGAAAATATTATTGCAGGCAGAAGTCATCACAAATATATTTAGCAAGACTGATTACTGCTATTATTTTGCATCCCTTGAAACTTCTGGTGCAGTTGACAAGTTGACCGTTATACTGGAAAGCTGTGAGAATCCTTGTACCAAAATTAACATTTTGACTGTCCTTGCAAAGCTTGCAGAATTTGGAGGCAGGCAGATCACTGATAAGGTGCTTCAGAGCATCCCCTTTAAGCAATTATCTAACTTGCTCTCTCCAGATGCAGTGGAATGGCACGACAACATGTTTACAATATTGATGTCACTGACCAAAGGTGGAAAGTCGAAAGCTGTTGAGAGAATGTGTGATTTTGATATTGATAAGAATTTCATCAAACTTCTCGAGGATGGATCTGAGGTATTGCAGCGCCATGCTATTGTCACTTTGAAGGCATTTTATGAGCTGGCCCCAAACAGTTCCCTAAAGCCTTCCAATCTAAGTCTTTTGCCATGGCAAGTGAGGCTACCTTTGGAAACGTATGTTTTGTCAGAGCAGAAAATTCCTTCTTTACCAAAGCCACAAACTTTTGAAGACCTCATTCACAAGGTGGTGTGGTGGTGAACGGTGACAAGAAGCAGGTAATGAAGGCAATGCAGGATCTCATACCTATTGTTGCAAAAGCTGGAGACCCAAGTTTGCGAGAATTGATCATAGAAAGTCCCCTTATTAAAAGGCTTTCAGAACTTCTTCAATCAGGACATTCGGAACAAAATTCAATGAGATCAGAATCTGCTTTTCTATTAATGAAGCTAGCTTGTTCCGGAGGAGAACCTTTCATTAAGAAGTTTCCAGGGTACAATATCATTTCAGAGCTGGTGAAAATGATGTACTGCCAGGTAACTGAGTTGCAGGATTCAGCCTATACGGCCCTACACCATATGATCTTTTGCAATGGTGGAGGCCTTGTTCTGAACAAGATCTTCACGATAGGTCATACGGAAAGAATAGCTCAATCACTTGAGAGCAAATCAGCTAAAACTTGGAAAGTAAACCCGCTTTTCATTTTGGATATTGTTGAGCAAGGCAACAAAGCCTGCATCGAGACCAGATTCTATCTTCACTGGTGGTGGAGAAGCTCGCGAAGTCAGAGAAAGATTGCGGGGGCTCAGGTCAGACCGTGCTTAAGTATCTCGAGGGGATAGACAAGTGTAAGAATCTATCAATGGCAGAGCGAAAGGTGTTGAAACAACAGGTGATTAGGAAGGTGAGGAGCTCCTTGAAAGTTCATAAATTTGAGGCTCGGATTTTAGCAGCTTTGGATGCTTGTCTTTGTAAGGGCTCAAGAGGAGCCAGTAGCAGTACTAGACATAGAAAGTAATCAAGTAATTTGAAAAGAGAACTCTGGCTGGCTCTTTCAGGCCTTCTTGTTGTAACATTACAAGTTTGTATTCAAAGGAATGCAATTCAGATATCATTAAGACATACTATAAAAAAGATTATCTAGAAGGAAAGTAAAAAGGCAGTTGTACTCATTTCCATTGTTTCATTCAAGTTATATCTCCTAAAATTCACATTAAGCATAAGAACGAGTGTTTACTACTGAGCTATTGCGATGACTGCACTATGCACATGACAAGAAAATGTGATTATACTCAAGGTAGAGGCGCTAAAGAAAGATATATTTCAGATCAGCTTGTTAACTCCTCCATTAAGCCCTGTTTGATAAAAGTGAAATAAGGATAACTTAGGATTCAGAATTCAGAGAACCTTATCTTATAAGGCTAGCAAAGGTCAATAAAACATATGTAACTCACCCGTGCAATGTATTGCTCAGCATCTGTTCGTTTCAGAAAGTGCATTGAGTGGCGTGCAAAATTGGCTGATTTGTCACTGAGAATTATTCCACCACCCACATCTTCAAGAACTCTCACCTTTATGTAGGGATCTTTTGGAGGCACCATGTCCTGGCAAATATGAGAACATTAGCAATCGCAATATAGGTTCAGATGCACAAGGGGTATGAGAAGTTGAGAACGTAACTAAAATCTAAACATTTACACCCAGTGGCATGTTGAACTAATTTATTTTAAGATTATGCGTGTACATCCAACAAGTCAATTTAGTTAGATACATACACAAACACAACATTTCTTCACAGATTATGCTTCTTCAAGTGAAATGCTTTCTTACCTTCAAAACAGAAATAAATGCCTACATTTTCATACGTGATAGAAAGGAGGATCCCATCATCAGATGATACCATTTTCTTTTTTGTTTTTTGTTTTTTTTGGGGGGGGGGGGGGTGGTTGTGGGGTGAAGTTCATGCCTATTTACCAGCCCTTTTTATACAAACGTTTATTTCATATGAGAGAAAGAGAAGTTACCACATTCACATCAAGGCCCATCTGAGACATGTATGATTTCAAAGTTTTAGCATGATCTTTGAAGTACTCTTCCTCAGAGTCACTAAGCTTCTCTTGAATTTCTTCTGGAAGTTCATGAAGCAACCCCACCTTCCATGCCAAAACTCGTATGATTTCAGCTCGATTATACCTGCATGGTTAAGAAAAGTCAACCATCATAACTAGTGATGTGAAGAAACCTGACCTCAAACTTACAAACCAGCAAGCAGTTTCTCAAGAAACTGTCAACATAAGAAATACGTACATATAAGCCATTAGGCAACGTTTGTTTCGAGTTAGAGAGAGATGATGGATAAGCGCTCCATAGTGGTCAGCATTTCTAGCAGTTTGGACGTCCAGTCCCTCTTCCTGCATTTTCCTATTGCAATATGAGCAATGTTAATGATACTGCAGAGATGGAAATCCAAAAAAAAAACACACACAAACAAACAAACAAACCAACCAGAGAGAGAGAGAGATAGGAAAAATAACTTGAGAGGGAGAGGGAGGAGAGCAATATTATGAATTTGTCAAAGAATGGAGATTTCAACAGAAATTTTGTATACAAGTTCTTGAAAGATTATTTCCAAAGTCATTTTCCAAATTCTAAGTTATGTCCTGCAAAGGTATTCAAGTCCCTGCACCAGAAGAAGCAGTCTCTAAACAAAGAGTGCATATTGCCCTTAATGTAGGTATAGGGAGTTACCATAAATAACCCACACAGGACAGTTAGGATTTGAAGGAGGGATTTCAAAAAATGAAAATGTGAATGAAGGAACATTTTCAAATTCCTCTTTTTGTCAAGGAGAGAGATTATAGTTCAGTTAGAGAGGAGAATTAGGATTTGAAGGAGGGATTTCAAAAAACAACCTTTCAAGTGGAATTTAAAATGGCAAGCTTTTGTAGTACAACCAAAATAATCTTCACATGAAAGGTCATTTAGAAAAGGAATTTGAAATTCCTTTCTTCATATTTTCTTCTTTGAAACCCCTCATTTACGATCCTTCATCCAAACCCAACCTTTGAATGCCAGATGGCATCAACCAGAATGGAAAATGTCACTTTGCCTGACAAAACCATAACACCATTTAGCAGATACAAAAGGTTCCTCCCATATTTTACCAAAATAACCAGAAACAGAACATGCAACGGAGCAAGAGCTAGATAGGCAGAGAATAAAGTTAATAAATGGTCAGCCTTCCCATGTATGTCTCTGTGTTTGTGCATTTACTAGAGAGAGCAGGACAAAAATTAAAAGAAAAGAATAGGATAAGAAGAAAGCAATGTAGAATCACCTTATCAAGGACTGAAGTGCACCATGGTGTTCATTGCATTCTTCAAGTACTCTCCCAAATAGCTCCCTCTACATGATCATAAGTGGGCATAACATCAGAAGCAACATTAAACGAACAGCAACCTAGCTAGTGTTAAAAATCAAAAGGAACTGCAATATAAGACATTATAAGGAAAGTAAGAATTAGGCTATCCACAGAGGAGGGGTGGGAAATCAAAAGGACAAAGAACTTATTCTATCTAAAGATCTTAATGCAAGATGGTCAAACCAAATAATTTCTGAAAATTTCAGAATATATAGAAATAAAAAGTCTAAAAACAAAACAAAATTTTGGCAATTATGCATGTTGAATTTTGTTGCACGCAAGTCACTTACACTGACCATTATTGTTATCATATAAACTGGGGGAAATTTCTACTGAATTCATTCTTAGTTAACTTGTTGATGGAAGTAGTTTGCTAAGTAATTTTGCAAGGAACTATAAACTACACAAACAACAGAACTACCTACCCAAAAAATGGAAAACTAATTGAATCAAAAAATCTCTCACCTCTAACTTATTTAAACAGAGATAATAAAAGCTCACTTTCCTGAGAATTACCAGTTCACAATATTGCAAATAAAGGGCCTTTCAAACAGAAAAGGGTGCATGGAAATTCAAAAGTAGTGCTATAGATGAATGTATCACTTCGAAATATGAGCCCTAGATAATTAAAGTACTGGAAGGCAGGTGATTGTGGATGTTTCTTCCTTTTTCCAATTTACTCCTATGTAGTTAACTGAGCTAATAGCGAAGATCCTGAAGTTATACGGACCCTTCATTTACCATAACAGACCCATGTCTGAAACTTGTTGGTCTCCTTGGATCTGCATAGACTTGACTCCATATCCTTGAAATTATTGAAAATCTAACCAAAAAGAAAAGGAAGAAGAAGAAGAAGAAAGAAACCTTCCTTGATTGGTAACAGACCTTACTACACAAGCATTGAAAAAAATTTATTTTAAAAAAATAAAAATAAATAAATAAAATAAAAGAAACTCAAGCCTAACGCAATAGAGATTCTACTGCAGAAGTGAACTCTTATTCACATATGTAATTTTCTATATGTTCAAAATATTACACTAGATCTGCCTCGAGCACCTAGAAGGCAAGGCTATATTGTATTTACAGTACAGAGATTTCTACACATAATACAAAATTCGGGCACAAAAGAAAGTTCACCGTGAAATCAGTATTGCCAATCGAACAAAAGTACAAAAAAGCAAGCAAAGTGGCTTACATTGAAAGGCTTGAGCTGCCCCTTTTCGCCACTGGCGAATTCTTTCACTAGCTGGTACGCCTTTCTCCCGTGCATTCTTCAAAATCCTACAAGTAAAGTTAGGGTCATTGAGGCATTTCATCGAACACACTACATAATCTGCGTGAATGATTGTAAACACATATCTAATTCAAGAATTATTCATCAATCCAAGAACAAAGGCCAATTCAGATCCAGAAGTACTTACACACTCGAAAGAAACAAAAAGATCAATGACGGAACGGTAACAGCAATTGGAATTGAATACCTTCTGTCTTGTTTTGTGGGTTTGGGATTTTGTTGGTTGGTAATATTTTTCTGTTCTGTCTGGGGGAACTTCCATTGTAGCTCTGAAAAATCAAAAAATAAGAACTTACAATTTCTGGCGCCAAAAAAATGGAAACCTAATTCTTCGCGCGCCTTCGGTAAACTTGTTGGGCTTGGGTCTGAGTGTCATGGGCCAAGACCATTGATAAGTGGGCTACAGAACCAGCTTCTAAGGTTTTTTTTTTTTGGGTGGGGTGAAAAAATAACTTTTGAGTTTTACATTGAAATTTGAGAGTTTCAAGAATTATGATCATTCTACTCTTTTTTAATAAAGGAATTATCCCTTATTTCACCCATTCTATGTATTATGATATTTGAAATTAGAATCTCATACTTCCAATAAAAAAAATCATCACTAAATTATTTAGATTATTAGTAATAAAAAAACTTATAATTACAAATTTATAGTTCAATTCATTTATCATGTATATAGTAGTATACAAAGTACAAACAATTAATATATCTACCCTTCAACAAGTGTCTCAACGAAAAAAAAGTGAGATGATCACTAAAAAAAACAAATTTAAGATTTTAAGTTAAATGCCTTCATTTAAATTTAAATGTATAAACAAATAGCAAGAAAGAAATTCGCCCTATTTCTATAAGGGTATCCTGTATTACAATTTGCCTGATGACAGATTGTAACATCAAGGCCATTAAAAGGGGGAGAGAAGGGTCCAATCTTAAGGACCCCTCCTCCTTTTGATGGTTTTAATGTTACAATCCGTCATAGGACACACTGTAATATAATTTTTCATTTCTATAACTCATTTACCAATGTAATATATTTGGTTAAACCCCATTTTGGTTTTTTAATTATTGTACGAACTTCCGATTAAGTCCCTTAATTCAAAAAATCCCTGATTTGGTCCCTACTATTTACCATTTTGGCCCCAACTTGGTTCTTCCGTTTAAAATCCGCTAATATGTCTTGTTAACTCACGAAAACTCAATGACATGTCAAAATATTGTGACACATCAGCTTAACAGCATGGATAAATAAATGATGTGTCAAAATATAATTATCTACTTCATTTAGAATTACAATTTTACCTTCATCTTCTTCCTCCGACATCCTCTTTCACAAATCTTCTTCATTCATTCTTCTTTTTCTCTCTCTTTACCTCCTATAAATCCACTTTCATCATCATTTTTCTAAATCAAACAATCAATTCATCAATATTTTTCCTCTGAATCCACTTTCATCACCTCTTTTTCAAACCCACGAAAGAACCCAGCGATTGCTAGGCTTGAAATCGAACGCCCATTTTTGGCTTTCTTTGTTTTTCCTTTTTCCCTTTCTTCTTCCTCTTCCTTTCATTTCACTTTCTACAAATCTAGACACCCTGTAACATCAAATCCAAGCATTACACAAACATAAATCCAAAATCTCCCTAAAATAGCCACTATCCCTCTTAGCCTTCCAAAAAACTCAGAAAAATCAAAGTATCTTCTCTCAAATTTCTACAAAAACCCAACTAAGCACCTAAAACAAAGACCAAAAATCAACAACAAAATCTAGCAAATCGGCTGGGTTCTCAAACCCAACAAAAGTTAAAAAGGAAGAGGAAAAAGAAAGAGAAAGAGAAAGAGGAAATAAAGAGAGAAAAAAAAAAACCAACAGAGTTGCTGGGTTCGAAGTTGAAAGGGGAGAGGAAAAGGAAACAGAAAGAGAAAAGGAAAGAGGAAAAAGAGAGAGAAAAAAAAAACTAGTAGATCCTCTGGGTTATAGAGCCCAACAGATCTGCTAGGTTCTAGAACCCAATAGATTTGCTAGGTCATTTTGAATCCAACAAATTTACTGGGTCATTTCGAACCCAATAAATCTGTTGGGCGTTGAGTTCTAGAACCCAGCGAATCTGCTGGGTTATTTCAAACCAAGCAGATCTATTGGGTTTGAAGTTGAAAGGGAAAAGGAAAAGGAAAGAGCAAAGAGAGCAGAAGGGGAAATAGAAAAATGAGAAAAAAAGGAAAAAAAAACCCAACAGATATGCTTGGTTTGCAGAAGTTGAAGAAAGGGAAGAGGAAAGAGAGGGGAAAAAAAAGCTAAAAAAAGGGAAATATTTTGGGTGGGATGAGTTGGAATTATGTAAATAAAATTATTGGCCATGCCATTTGATTTTGTCTAGTTGTCAATCATATGTGTGAAAATTTTAGACACCTAATGCTTCTTTCGTCAATTAATGTGGACAAGTTAACAAAAGGACCAAGTTGGGTCCAAAATGGTAAACAGTATAGATCAAATCAAAGATTTTTTGAGTTAAGGAACTCAATTGGAAGTCCATACAATAGTTAAGGGGCCAAAATGAGGGTTTAACCAATATATTTAATGCAATCAATCCATCAAAGTGAAATTCAAACTGTAAGAGAACAACTTTAACCACTACAAACCTACCTTCAGTAGCTTTTCTTCGTTTTTTGTGTTGTGTTGCTGTTGTTTCTTTTCTTTTTTTTTAAATGAGAAAATTACCTCTGTGTCCCCACAACAACAAAAGTCAACTAAACATTAATAAAACAAATCAACAAAATTTTAACATGTACCATAATTACATGATTTACAATTTCAATCACCTAACATATTGTGTTTCATTTGCATGTGACTTTTTTTGAACATTCATTTGCATGTGACTTTAGTTTTATGAACATATCAATTTATCATAATTAACTTATTATATGATTGACCTTCCAACTCCTTCACAGCAACGTAGACATTGTTAATTGGTCACATTAATCTTTTGTGGAAGCAAATTTGTAAGGATATCTCCCAAGGAAGTTCCTCACAATCTAATTATAACGTCATATATATTCCCATGCAGAGGATAAAATCATCAAGATGTGCTTTGATTGGGTGTCAACATCAAATGGTTCGAAAGGAGGGGCCCAAACCAAAGATTTTTCAGATTATTTCAACGATCACGGCATGCCACATGTTGGACTTTCCCACTTTATAACTTTTTCTTTTTGGTTAAACATCAATTTTAAACTTTAAATGTTTTATTTTAAATATTTTTTTACTCAAACTACTTTTAACACTTTTTTAGTTTTTTAACTTTATAAATTACATTATTTTTGTCTTATTTGGCAATTAAGTGATGACATAATTTTTAACTCATTTAAAAGCTTGTTTTTCTTTAATCTTTTTATAACAAATTCATTATAAATTGATTCTTTAACTTAGTTAAATAAAATATGTAATGTTTATATTGGTAATTTTAACTTAAATTGATAATATAATAAAATAAAAGACTAAAAACTATCTGCTATTTAGACTTTTTTAATAATTTAAAATTTTAAAACTTACAAAATAGTAAAACCCCTAAAATTTTTTTCAGACTTATTTCTCATCACTAGAAACATTTTTAGGTATTGTAAGGACACCTAAGAGCTAATTTAATTATGTATCATTGACATATTATCAACAAAGTATTATTTTAGATTATGTTAACGATTATTTTCAATCACTTAACTATAATGGAAGAACAAAAGAAATAAAATTTATAGAGTGGAGAGATTTAAAAAAAGAGTTAAAAATATTTAAAAAAACAAATATTTAAAGGGAATAGTGCTTTTTACCTTATCTTGTAAAAATTAAAAAGAATATTATTCAAAAACTATATCATTTTAATAAATATTTATTGAAAAAGACTAAAATATGTTATTTTTAAAGGATGAATTAAGGTATTTTTTTTTTTTTCTCTTAATTTTTTGGAGATGAAGTGGATAAACACTAACCTCATATTTAAAATATAAAATTTAAGGATTAAAAATGAGGTTTTTTTAACATGTATCCTAAAAGTATAAATTAAGAGTCTTAAAAAAATAACATTTAATTTATCAATTATTTAAATACATTTATTTACATGACACTAATATTAAAATTAATATTTATTTTTATATTTTTTTATATAAATTTATTACAAATAGTATTATTAACATGTGTTTCAAAAAGGCATTTAAACTTTCTATCAAGTGATAACAAGTCATGTATAAGTACATTTTTCTTTCCGATTTTAATCCACCTTACAAATTTGTTTAAAAAAGAAAAACATGTGTTTTAAAAAGTATAAATTTAAAAAATTCTTAAAAATTAACATTTCACTCTTTTTTTTTATATCTTATTACTATTTAATATATATTTTATTAATGTTCAATGATAATGTTGTTGACAATGTGATGATGAGATGCTGAGGATGACAGCCATGGAGTGGTGCTGAATTGATGGGCTTTACGACTCTCGCATCGCCTTTTTTAAATTAATTTCTTCGTTCAGATCATGGCAGCTCACCGAATTCTCAGAACTCGTAATGATTGGATTAAATTAAACCATGGGACCCTCGTTTTGTATATTTGGACCAAATTATTTAGAGGAGAGTGTTCAATGCAATTTTAATTGAATTTTTTATTGTATTAAATTAACTCTTAAAT